TTATCGTTCAACATTTAGTATAAATTATTCGTGCTTTTATAATAATTAAAATTAAATGACCATTCCTAAATATTAGGAAATAATCTAATAACTATTTTGTCCAATGTGAACTACATTTTAAAATGGTAAAAAAGACGAACGATATTTCGTTAAGAGCCTACATGCTTTTAATATAGTAATCTATATCTATACTATAATAAAAGTACGAAGACCCTTAACGGAATATTGTTTGCCTTTTTTACCCTTTAAAAATAAAGTTTACACTAGACAAATAGTCATTAAGCTTTTTTTCCTAAAATTCAGGACATCGAAGCTTTAGCCATTAACTCTTTCCTTATGTAAGTCCTCCTATTATTTAATAATTTAATACCACGTACGAATTTATGTATACTAGTCTTAGGGTACGCGCGTTGCGCGTGTATCCTATATTATTGCATACAAAACTTTAAGATTAAACATTATGAAATATTCTTTATAAACTAATTAGAAAAATTACAAATAAAAGTACAAGTGACTAAAAAATGAAGAAATATTGTCCTACGACGGTCCTCTGATGCATTATTATTGGATCCATAGAAACTAAATTACAATGAACTTTAATTTGCTAGGTTATTACTACTTAACATAATGTGCTTTTGAAATTATGAGTAAAATAGACAGAGAAAATTTATATAAGGTAAAATTATATATAGTTCAAATAGACAAAGAAAACTTTATTAATAAAATAAAGATTCCTAATCCACAATTAAGCTCAAGGGGCTCATTTTTCACCTATTATATTTTATTAAAAATTAGTCCTAATAAGTTAGTACCGAAGCTTGTCTAACTTTCCTACGTCAAAACTTTACTATTAACTAAAGAAGAATTAAAACTTATTGGCAAAATTTTATTAACTAAAAAAACCTCCTCGAAACCTAAAAGAAGAAATTTGGTACTCCTAAATATAAATGGAGTTGAATTAAAAACTTTCTTAGTTTATAAATATTAGGAGAATAATTAAATGACTATCATAGATAGTAAGAAATTCATTAAATGACTATTCCTAAATATTAGATAAATAACAAACTTTCCTAGTTTAAAAATATTAGGAGAATAATTAAATGATCATTCCTAAATAGTAGGAGATTAATTAAATGACTATATGTAAATATTAAGAAAATAATAAAATGACTATTTCGTCTAGTGTGATTTCAATTTTTAAAGGGTAAAAAAGACGAACGACATTTCGCTAAGGGCCTTCGTACTTTTAATAGAGTACTAGTTTCTACGAACGTGCGTTGCACGTTAAAAATTGTACCTAATGGTTTAGGCAATTATTTTTATGAAGGAATATAAAATTTAAGTAATGAGAGAATTATATAGAATACAATAATTATTTAAACACCGGAAAATGTCGTTACATTAGCATAAGACATGATTTCAAAATGATTGAACATCGTTATTTGAACCTGCAAAAATGATCAATTTAGCCATGTTAGTTAGATAATATTATTATACTTATAGTTCTTACCTAAGTCTTCTTTGTAGATGATGTTCTTTATGTATGTTTCATTTTGACGCTTTGCTAGCTCCGTTATAACCAGAACTTTTGTTGCGGACATTGATATTCCTCTTAAAAGTGTAGTATATAATTATCCATGCGAGAAAATATGTTGCGAAAAATACAGTATAGCATTTGAAATTGTTTGCCCTTGAACTTTATTTATTGTCATTGCAAAATAGAAGTGTATTGGAAATTATTTTTCGATAAATTTTGAAAAGATATCCTTCATTTTCTGGAGGCGAAAGTTGAATTCTGGGGATGAATTACGCATGCTTGAAAGTACATTGACCGATAATTATGATTTTTGCATATATATCGTTGTTGTCAAAATCTTTACATATTATTCTTATACTATTACATAAGCTATTGAATGGATCTAAGTTTCTTAGTAACATGATGAATGTATTTTGCTTCAAAATCAGCCTGTGTGATGTGGAAATTTATTTTTAAATTAATAAGAATATCTTCAATTCTCCTGCTAAAAGCAACTACCAATTAAAAAACTAATGCACCATGAAGCCACTAAATAAACAAAAACCACGTAAAAAAAAAATAATTAATGGCCTTTAATTGTCAAACGGAATTAAAAACTCACTAAAACATGTATTTTGACTTTTGGCTTTCAAAGACTTGCGGTGAAAGAATTTTTTGTCTATTATATACATACGTGAAAATAAAACATAAAAAAATAATGAACTTGACAACAAATTTGTGAGGTGGGATGTTATTTGGTGTTAAATATTTAAGTATTTTTTTGGTAAATAGTTGGTATAATCTTCTATTGAGTCGAAACTGATAAATATTTTGCTCTCACCAAGAAACTTAGCAATCAACATCTCATCTAATTGATCAATATATTCATTTCTGCTAGGTAATATAGCTCTTTCTGTCATGTACCTTGCAAACTTTTATTTTTATTCAGTGAAAATATTTTCCTTGTTAAGCGATCTTCACAACTAATATTATCATTGAGCTTGATGACCATTTATTTTGGAAGATGGATTAAATTATCTTTTGTTGTATGCTCTTTATCATTTTTGACACGAAGCAAGAAATCATGGAATGCTATATATGCCCTTGTTGTTAGCCGAATATTCAAGTTGTCATCGAATTATATATTTAGTATGCCAAAACTAAAATTGAAGATACCAATATTATGGGAGATTAATTAGATATATTCTTTAACAACGCAACTTAGCAAGTATTTTATAGCATCAAACAGTATAACAGTATTTGCAATCAAACACGTCAAGTTTTAAATAGTATTATAAAGTGTTATATAGATTTATTAGAAACATATTTATTTAATATAAAGAAATAAAAAAAGTGAAAGATTTTTTATCTGTTTGCCTTTACTCGCAAACGACGTTTTTATCGTACAATTGCTACAATTAGCAATTTTGTTTTTAACATATATTTTCTTGTAATATTTTCTGTAAGAAGAATATTACAATACATCTCTATTTTTAAAGCTTGTTATTTATGCATAGGATCTACAATATAAATTCTACATATAAAGAAAAGTCAATATATTGAATTTTACACATTGGGAAATGACGTAAATTATTTTAGAATATTTTGAAATTTTTTACCTTCACAGTTGTAGATGAACTATTTATGATGGTTTTAACATTCGAAAAAAACGTAAAATTGTTTTGAAATTTTTTACCTCTACAATTGTACATGAGCCAAATATGATATCATTAACTATTTTAATGTAAAGTAAAAAATTGTGTATCCCTATATAATTTTAATTTTAGGATTAAACTTTCTAAGACGTGCATTTGAAAAAGACCCAAAGGAGCTATAGCGGCATGGCGGCCTAATCCAGTACATCTCTGCAATAAAATGAATAAAACATTGATAACTGGCTTAATTAATAGGTGAACGCTAATTAAGAAAGAACTAAATAATAAACATAATATTTAAGCCAAACAGAAAAGAGATAAACATATTTTGATCTAATACTGATAGATCCGAATGAAACTCTCTCTGCAAATATATACATCTAATAACTATTTACATAAATCACCTTGAATAAATTCTTTGCAAATAATGTGGTTGATAAATTGGAGAAAAAAAAAGCAAAAATGGAAGAATGTATCACCTACACGTATGGTTAGTTTTTAATCTTACACTCTGTTTGGATCATCATTCCCCGTCGTTTTATAATGTATTGTATTGTATTATACCGTATCATTTTATAAATAAAATGTTTGGATATGTTGTATTATTTGTTATTGCTAAATAATATTTTATTGTTTGGTTTGATTGTATCGTACTGTACTGTAACTGATAAGTTGACTAAAATACCCTCAATTGTTTAAATATTAAATTTATCAAAAATTATGCATAAAAATAATTTAAAAAATAAAACAGAAGAAGGAAAAACACCTTAAGAAAGCAGAACAAAGGAGCGGGATAGAAGAAGGCAAAATAAAGGAGCACAGCTAATTAGAATTGAGTTAAAAATAAATTAGTAGAAAAAATAAAACAAAAGGCGGCAAAACACCTTTAACGTTGGCGGCAGAAGTTCTGAAAAAAAATAAAGTAGGTTATAGGTTGGAGATTTGGAGTAAAAATAGAAAAAGAAGTAAAGGGTAAAATAGAATTGTGGAGTAATAAGTTAGGGCATAATTGAAAAGAAAAATACGAAACAATCCCACCACACCAAATTGATTGTTTCAAAAAAGGAACTTTTCATTGTTTTGGAACAATGAATTTAACAATACAATACAACCATTTTTAATGAAACAATCAAAAAAAATATTATTTTGAGATAACAATACAATACGATACAACGGAAAACAACCATCCAAACAAGCTGCTAGGAATAACACATGAATACGTCAGCTAAAGTAAGAAAAACTTGGTTAATAAGTTCAATAAAAAGAGTATAATAATTGGAAGGAATAATACCTTTCTCAAAGTTCGCAGAATCTTGTTATTATATTTTTGCACAAAGTCCAAAGCTAAAAACGAAGAGCCCGTTTGGACATAAGAAATTTTTCCCATTTTTTTGAAAAATTTTCTCTTTTTTTTTGAAATCGTTGTTTGTTCATAAAATTTTCAATTTTCACTTGAAGATGCATTTTGGAATTTTTCGAAAATTTTAAAAACTCCAAAAGGTTGTTTTTCAAAATTTTCACTCACAAAACTTCAAAGACAACCCAAAATTATATTCATGTCCAAACACAACTCTAATTTTCAAATACCATTTTCACTTGAAATTTTTTTTCACTTTTTTTTTTGGAATTTTACAATTCTTATGTCCAAACACCCACTAAAACTTCTTTTGTTGAAGTGTTTGGCTCCTTCCCCTTTTAAAGGGATTTGTACAAATCAATAAGTTAACCAATTAAATTAGTAATAGACTTTTTAAAGAAATATGTCCTAAAAATAAAAAGATTACACGGCTAACGTGTGATATAAAAAGAAATATATATTACTAATAGGATTCCTAAAGGTAATAGAATTACATGACAATATGCCAATTCTCAAACAGAAAATAAGTTATCTCCATCGATTTCCAAGTGATATTGGAATTTAGACTTAAGTAGTAAAGCAAAATTTGTGGATTGGTAGAGGCCGTCAGTCTTTTTTTCTCGTTTATCTCCAAAAACGGGCACATTTAAGTTTAGTCAAATTCAAAAACTTTCTTTTACTATATTCTCAAACCGGCATATTTATAAATAAATTAATTTAGCAAAAAGTTTTCGGGGTTTAAGAATTAGTAGTAGGATCCTAAAAGTAATAAAATTATATGGCTAACATCTAGGATTTCCGTACCTATTATGTTCTAAAACTAATAGGATTACATTGATAACGGCATCTAAAATTCCGGTTATGACCTTTTACTATGAGTTATTATGCTTAATATTATAAGGTTATTTTTGTAAACCAACATTATATTCGTACTTTTATAATAATATAAATAGATATAGATAGATAAGTAACTAAGTTATTGTACAAAATATTCAATTTAATGGAAGACGTAATCCACCGGAAACCAAACAATTATGGTCTTCTTCCTTTAAGAAGAATTTTCTCTTTTAGAGAGCTCTGTAGTATTTTATAGACAAAAAGTTGAGATGTAAAAAGACATTATATAGAACAATTGTGAATGAAATATCTAATACCAATTAGCGTATAAAATATAAACTGTAAGATATAGCATACTTCACTATAAAATCGTATAGTTAATCTTAGTACGTATTCTCATATAATATGCCAAATCTTTAACACCTTGACCAACCAAAAAAATTCTTATTTTGTATATTATTTTAATTGATTGTGAATGAAACAAAGACAAAATCTAGAGAAAAAACTCATTTGATTCTTTTATAAGCTATATAATAATTTTAGAAATATAAATACAAAAAGTGTCCATGACGGAAGAGGTATTAATAAATTTAAAATTTGATGGAATTTATAATTCTGAGTGAGCTCACAATTGTGTTATTATGATTATTGTGTTTAACATTTAGGAATTTAAAATCAAGTAATCAGATTTTAGCTCTATAATTTTAAGTTAGAATAATTTTATACTTAGAGCAAGAAAGAAAGAAAGGATCAAAACATCACGGGCCGCACGCAAAAGAAGAGAGAGGGTAGCCAGAACTTTATTGAGGCGGCCGCAGCAAGAAAACAACAAGAGCACGTCTTCCCAAACAAAGCAGCCTTCAGCAGGAGCTGCACTACAATGCCTCAGCTCCGGAAGCAGGAAGGAACTGAGCGCCCCAGCGAATAAAGAAAACCTAGAACAAAAATGAAAACCTATGCCTTAATGTATGTATGAGACAGTAAAAAAAAATGTACTCTAATTGAGTTGTACTAAATTATTTTAATTTCATTTTTCATTCATTCCACCAAATGACTCCATATAGAAATGACTCTCAATCATCTTTTTATATAAGTAATTTATTGTAGAATAATAAAGTAGTAATGCATTTTGTAATAAATTCATAATATAATTATATTATATAATAAGATATAGTATTTTAACTTATGAATAAATACATGCATTAAAAAATATCTAAATGATATAAAAAAGGTTTTAAGAGAGTTGAAAATACCAAGGGTAAAATAGACATTGTGTAGGATGAAAGGGTGAACATGACAATTGTTCTAAGTTGGAGGATGAGTTTGATTTTTACAGTAAACTTCGGGGATGTAAATGATTTACAGTAAACTTGGGGGATGTAAATGATTTTCACCCTTATTAAATTGAAACAACATGTAAGGTGAATATCGCTTTATTGAGTTAGCTATATATGATCAATATTCATCAATTTCAAAAGTTTTTAATTTATTTTATAATTTAAATATCATTTTTAAAAATATATATTCTTACAAAATTACTCATTGAGATGGAAAACACGCGCAACGCGCTTACACTAAATCTAGTAATTTATATATAGATATAGATAAAATATAGATATAGATAACAAATACATAAAGTCAATGCAAGTATAACAATAACAACAGTTTCAGTATAATCTCACAAGTAGATTGTAATTTCATATAGTCAATGCAAGCAATTTTATTTAATTTCTGAAGATATGTGCATATCTGTTTAAATGATATTGCAACTTTTCACCGCAAATATGAATTGTAATAAAATATTTAAAAGCTACTTACATATTCGAGGGAAAACAGAAGAGATGCTGAGCAATATAGTGTAAAGTGTAAACTTAATTCTTTTGCTTTGTAACAGAAGTCCTTTACCTTAGGTAAGGAATCAGAGTCATACAAGATAAAAGAAGAAAAAAGGTTTCCAATCCTTTTGCTTTTATAGGAGATTTCACACCTAAATTCAGATTGCTTCTTTTTTGTAGATCATAATTTTATAATGGTCCAAAACTTAGTTTTCCAAGGAAAAGAGAGATAGGTCTGGCTTGAATTGAAATGCAAGTAGCCAAAAAATCGTTCATTTATGAATTATTGGAGGATTCTATTCCATTTCCAACTTAAACAAACTTAAAGATAATCTGAAAAAAGACTTCCCATAAATAGGAGAAATCCCTGAAAGATAATACCATCCATAAAATTGATTAGTGCTCCATGTGATTTGCTTCTCTATTGCTAAAACATCATATGCTTGTCATTCTTTGTGCAAGGCATGTTAGCAACACTATAAAGAGAGAAAAACAAAATTAAGGGTGGGTAATACTGAAAATGATTGATTGAACTCATTTCCTTGCTTTTTCTCCTTTGTTTAAAAGTCGAAAGACCGTTTGCATGTGACATAGGAGATTTTTCTTTTTCTTTTTTATAACAGTGGTAAACATTCCAGTTCATGTGTACTTGACTATCCGACGGGTATTTGATACAACTAGCTTCTGGACACGCGCGTTGCACGTGCATCCCATATCAATCAATAAAAACTTTTAAAAATAATTTTACTGTATTAAACTATACGAGTATGATGAGTAACACGAAATTTTAATGCAACATTATTTGACATCTTCTAAACATGTGGAGTCGAGGCTGGTAAATACGATTGTCAAATGGTATTGACTAATTAACCCACCAAAATTTATATAATATAGAAAGATAAAATTAAATACAGATTAAAATTATTCAAATGTTAAACACATTAAGAATTTGCACAGGTTATCATTACCAAATCACTACAACAATTTATATTTTCCTTTAACATAGTATAAAAGACTAATTTCCAACATAGATTCGAATACTATTTTCACAAAATTAATAAATAATTATATGTTGATGCTTCTGTTATTTTAGAATATCTAAAGATAATTTAACAAATACGAAGCAGAAATAGCCACCTCAAAAAATTTTAATTTGTAAAAAATCTTCCTAGAAATAAAACTACTAGAGAAATAAAAATAAATGTATACACACAGAAAAAGAGGTAATAGTGTAGTACTTTTTTCAACAAAACCTAAAAAAGCAATAAATATACATCCTTCAATTTTCATGTGCCAGATCTAGATTGTCGAAATAGTTGTTAACACATCATTTCGTTGCAAGAATTGCAAAACTTAAACTATGGCAAAAATAATTGCTTACTTAGATGGTTAAAAGAGTTGATGGATGCATGAGCAAAGTCAATAAAATTCATGACACGACGCATAACTAGCATCACATTGAATATCAGAAGATGAATACTGAAGAAGAAGAAGAAGAAAAGAAGAAAAAAAATTGCATATTAAAATTTCCCGAAGAGAACGTCAAGTCGTCAATGGTTTAATATTTTGACAATCTGTAAGTTATTAAAAATTTACTTGTGGAAGTTGAAAAGAACTTCCAAACATTGAATAGGTATAGGAAGATGAAAAGCAATTATAAGGCATTGAATATGCTTGCTAAGTGGATGTTGTAAGGACATTATTCCACCTGTTTCTATACTCATTTACCTCATTCATTGTTTTACAAAAATAAAGAAATTGTATTTAAATGAGGTGTAAAATAGTCATTCAATTTTTTATGGGCATTTTAGTAAAACAACTCTACCTAAAAGTCTTCACACTTATAATATAGTATGATTTGATCTAGGGAGAACCACACCCCAAAGGCTAGCTATTGAGGTGGGAGAGCCCAAGACTATATAAACCTCACATCAGCACTTTGTAGTACCGATGTGGTACTCAAGTCCCATTCCTTACAATATACCTAACAAATCACCAAGCTTCTTATCCGTCGTCCTCGACGGCTGTGCGAACGCTACAATACTGGCGTCACTCGACGGTTGTGCGAACGCTGCAATACGAGCGTCACCATCCAAGGCACGGTGGGCATAGAGGGTGGTGGGTGGCTCTGATACCGTTGATACAACCTAGAGAGAACCACACCCCAAAAGCTAGCTATTGAGGTGGCGGAGCCAAGGCTATATAAAGTATACCTACCTAGACATTCTTTTTAAGTTTTAACTTTATTAAACTTGTAATCGTCAAGAAAAAAAATCTTACAAAGGCAAGCAATTATATAGTGCATTGGAGATCATTGCTTGGCAATTTCATGTGAAATTATACAAGGAATTCACCTATATGTGCCGAGGAACTGCCAAACTGCTTAAGTGATAGTCCTAAAAGGATAAGCACATTGATATGACTAGGCAAAAGGGGGAAGAGAAAAGGAGGAAAAAGGGCACAAGCTAATTGGTTACCTACTTCTTTTTCACCTTTGGGGAGCAGGCTTTACAAATGAGAAGTCATCTTCATTCCTAGTAGGTTCTCCATTTGGAGGAACATGCACATGTATTTCTGTGTCATCATGATAAATCTGTGTAGTTGCAATCTCTGCACGATTCATCGGTGTTGTTGAGCTAATTACCGTAGTTTTGAATCGATGAAGAGCAGGGCCTGCCGGGTTTACAGGTGAGCTCATTTTGGACCTTGGACTTGCACTACCTAGTGTTCGCGTAGGAGAACTGTCTCCCCTTGCTCCCTTACTCTTCTTCACAGCCATATGCCACTTCTTCAGAGCCTTTGAAGTTTGCTCATCAAAGATTGATTTTTTCATATTGGATCCCATCTGCAAACATTAAAATTAAAGGGCACTGCTTTATCTAAGTTAACAGCAGATCATGCTAAAAGACTAGAGATTTGAGTAGTATCATGTGGTGAACTTCCATTGTTCAACGAAGCAATGGCAAATGCCTAAGGTAGTATGGCACGGAATAAAACGTAGAAAAGAGTCTCTGATAGTACCTGAGTTATAAGGGCATAAAGCGGAAGAGTGATATATAACTGCATAAGAATAAGACTGCCATCCTGTAATAGCAACGGCAAATTAGATTTTAACAAGAGCAAGCTTGAATCTTGAAGCTTAGAAACTAAAATAATGAATATACCAAAGTAGCTTTCTGTAGCAAGAAACATACCCTACAACAATTTTCGCAATGACCAGCTCAAAATCGTCGTGGAAGCAAGACTTTAGCCCATACTCATACTACAGAGAAAGTAAAATCCTCATCTCTATTGATACTTTTTTGGCACAAAGAAAAAGATAAAGAATATCTCGCAATATCATAATTTGATTTTTGATACAGGGAGAAGAATTATTACCCATATCCACAGAAAACATGTTATCTGGAATGCATTCTGGCAAGTTTAAAAGATATATTAGCAATAGAAAAAAGTAAAAAAGAAAGTTTAGCCAAGGTAATTCCATGAAATACATAGAGATTACGATATGAAAAAGTAAATTATTCCACGCTCCAGCACCATCTTTCCCATTTTATTATATTTTCTTAGCACAATTCCTATACAACATTTTCAGTACTGCACATGCACTAGTTTCTACGTTTACACGCTCCAGCACCATCTTTCAACAGCATGCTTGACAGACACCGGATAGAGCAGTTTATTGACTGACCCATAGATAGAAGGAAATAATTCTATTTCTTATCCTCAATAAACGTCGTCTTAGCTGATCGTATGAACTTATAATGTCCTGTCTTTCAATTATCAAATGCCCCTCTAAGCCCGAGTTACTTATAGCAACATTATGTATTAAGGCAACTTTGTACTTGCAAAGTTGAAACCAAATGATATGCCCATCCTCTGGTTTACCAACATTACTTTTTAAAAATTGTATCGAAATGCAAACCTGAAATAAGGCAAAATGGATGAGGTGAAGCACCAGTTGCGGTCGACCAAACCAAAAATATTTGTCTGAGCCTTGTACAAGAGGGATTCCTTGAACTACAGCGTGTCTCTCTGTAATGTCAATTGCCACAACAGCCTGAAGCATTGTTCCAACAGCTTAAATGATCTGAGAAAATTCACTATAAGAATAGCACAAGAAGATAGACAATAGACAGGAATCTTACTATCAGAGGAATTAAGGATGCCAAGAACAATGGGGTTCATTTCCAAACTCTGACAAATACATTTCACCATTTTACAGTTACAATCTTTGGTCAGTTCCCTTCTCCTAATTAGGCCTTAGCCAACCAAGTTACCATCCTATTTTATATTCTACTCCATCAATTTTAACTTCAACATATACTTAAATCTATAAAAATAATTTTACATAAGTTACCGCTAAAAATAATTACAAGTAACTGTGTACAATAATCCGTAGATTAGTAACCTAACTTGCATAACACAATAAGTGACGGATTGATTACAACTGGTAAAACTGCACTGATAATGTAAACTAGATTGATCAGTTAAAGCTAAGTCTTTTTTTCTTTTTCTAGACTAGAAAATTACTTGAGCTAGCGCACGAACGAGACTCTGCCGGAGCTGTAGCCGGAGCACCGTCGGTTTTATGGGAAACTGCAGGGAACTCACCGCACTTCCGGCACCGAGCAACCACGAGAATTTGACGACAAGAAGGGCACGATGAGTGTGAACCCAACCAAGTATCAATACATTGAAGGTGAAAACTATGGCCACACTGCGGCAACACACGGATCTCCTCTCCAACCGCATACTCCGCCAGACAAATAGCACACTCCGCCGTAAACCGTGTACCTTTCGCCGTTGTACTGCTGGGGTCATAAGTGAACTTAGGTAACGACTGCAACACTTTCTTCTTTAACCCTTTATTAGCCGCCGACGACTGTCCACCAGCTCCGCCGCCGGTTGCTCGCCGGAGCCACGCGCATCTTGTAACAGCGATGAGCCCAACCACACAAATTAGTGCACAAAGCAAAGCAGCTAGTATTACGACAAAGTCAGACTCCACTGCCACCGCAGATGGTGGCTCCGCCGTCGGCGTTGAAGGGGAAGTTGAAGAAGAGTTGGCACTAAGCAGAAATCTAGCTGGACGAGTCATAATTGAAAACAACTTCAACAACAACAATATAGAAGAACAAGTTGGGACAATGGATGTAAAAGATGTGGTTGAAATGTCGGTAATTGATGTGAACTAATTATACAGTACTGATAAAAACATATGAAAATGTCTCAAAGTCCGTAGGATATATATATACATATAAATCTGATGGGAATGTTGAATGGAAGGTATTGAAGTTTACCATGTGGAGCAGAGAACATCATGTAGAGATCCCTACTATTCTTACTACAAATACTACTAGCTACTATTATATTTAATGATTAAAATAGAAAATAATTTGCGGTTTAGTTTACTCATGTAGGGTTACATGTTGATTAGCATCTTTAGATGAAAGATCAATTCAAATTTGAGTGGAGATAAAAAAACACTACTATGTCTGATGGAGAATTAACCCAAATAGGCGCTCATCTAATACGTTAAACTAGATTAGCGGTGGATGTATAATATGTGTATAACTGTGTATAATTAATATATAATCTATGTATACCGACTAAAAAAAGTAAACAGAAATTTGAATGGCTTTTTTTTTTTGCGCATAAACATGAGTTCTTTAAATCTTGATAGATAGAGTTATCGATTACATGATCAGAGGTAATTAATAAATAAATAAATAAATAAAGGCAGACTGGTACACTAAGCTTCCGTTATACGTGGTGTTCGGGGAAAGGGTCGGACCACAAGAGTCATACTCTGTATTTCTGCAAGAGGTTATTTCCATGACTTGAACGTGTAACCTCATGGTCACATGGCAGTAACTTTATCTGCCAAGGCTCCCTTTCATTGGAGGTAATTAATATTCGATAAAATAATTGAGATGTAAGCAAATTAGTACGGACAGAAATGTCATAAACAAGTATAATCATGTGGGAATCAAGGTTGATTAGGGTCCTTTATTAATTATGTGGATGAGGTTTAATTGAAGGAAGAAAGAAGCAAAGGCATGTGAACTTAATTACCTGATTTTGTTTGTATTCAAGTCTATCAAAACTCTTATCGAAAACCAAAAAGGAAAGGGAACTGTGTAACAAATTGTTCAAACTGAGGGCGACCATCGGTCTCTATAAAACCGCCATTGCCATTAGAGTTCTGTCCATAGATTTTAATCATTATCAATTATTGTGTCCAAAAGTTTTGGTGTCCTTCGGATGCCAAAATAGTCTCCTTCTTCATTTTAATCTTTTTCTGTTTGTGTTGGAATATGATTTAGGATGAATTAATTTTAGAAACATCTTCTAGAAAACAATACAGTAATTTTTTATTTTCCAAGAAACAAATAGTAATATTTTGGTAATACATATTGTTTAGAAAACAAAGTGCCCAGTGTTTTTAGAGGTTAAGTTATGTACACTGATAATGTATAATTTTATTACGTCATCAGCTTAATTTGACCGATAACATCATGTAATTTTTCGCACCAAATTTTATAGGGTAACCTTGAAATAAATATCATTATCAATATTGTCAAAAATTTACATTATCAATGCATATAATGTGAACTTTGTTCTAATAATATATTCTATATATATTCTACAATAAACCAAATTAGTGAATGATCTTCAATCTTATAATTAATGAGTGGGGACTTGGGATGCTAAAGTGCAATACTACTACTTGTTTGCCTTTTCTTACTTTTTATGAAAGACAAAGGTAACACTAGAAAGATTTGTTTTGAGGATGAGATGGGTAACATGTTATTTTGTACATTAATTTTGCGTGACAAAAGAAAAGGTTTACACTATTTATCCAAGAACAAGTGGCATGTCCGTACGTTATAGCTGTAATTGACAATCAATTCTTTTTTCGTCTCCAATAATTAAAAGTTGGATTCGACATGTTATATATGATTATGTTAAAGATAATTTTTTTAAATCTAACTTAGAGTGAGAACAGCCGTTAAAAAAGAAAAGAAAAGATTCTTCTCTTTTAACTTTAGAAGGATTCCTGACATGACTTCTTGCTTCCCTTATTTTTCATGAGATGAAAATACAAACAAATAGTTACTTCAATTTGATATTTGTTCAAGTGGATAAAATTGGGGAGGCCCCTGTTTGAACAAAAAGTTTGAGACTCTTTTGTCAATTTCATTTATCGATAGTGAAAAAGGTAAATCTTAGTCAAGCATAATCAACTTCAGATCTAAAAGTATATAGCGAAATAATAAATGAAAAGTAGGAACATTCTGAATTTATTGATCTTATGATCTCATCCTTCATAAGAAGAAAAAATGAGTTTACATCCTTCACAATAAGAAATTGTAAGAGAAAAAGTATAGAAGAAAAGTCCAGCCCCCTTTTCTGAGAATTCCCCTTCTATATATAGTTCTTGGAACTTTGCTCAGTGCTCTTTGACCAACGTGCTCTCACGCGACGGTCTTTTTCGTCGTTATTCGAGTACTGTTCGATGATTTGACATACACTGTCGATGTTTTGACTTCGAGGTTGGTCGTAGTGCTTTTCGTTGTTTCGCCAGCTGGGCGAGGTTTCAGCTTGGTCGACCACTATGGTCAGATTTTGACCTATACAGCCCCCATTGGTGAATGGATAAGAACATTGTTGTTAGAATCGAACGGCTTAATTTTAAAATGTTACCTGTTATAATAATTATTATTATTATTACGACATTAATCATAAACTTATCAAAACTAGCCAAGCACATATAAAAATTGAAAACCCAAAGATATAAGGTTCTTTCTCTCCAAGAATCACACACAAAGATCTCCTTCCATATTTTTAAGTGTAATTAGCAACATTTTATGCAAGACGAAAAGGAAATTTCATGGTAGAGGTAGAAAATACGGTGATGAAATATACAAAAATATATACACAAAATTCAAAAAATCTAAGCAGAAAAAAGACTTTTTTCAATGGGTATGGTTGAGATTCATTGAAAACATATAGATGAGGCAATATACAAAATTTGAGAAAAATTGGAGGTGATTTGGACTGATTTGGTATCAAAATTCGTAGTTAATCGAGTTCAACAAAATTCTTCAGCGACACATGTATCACGCATCAATCTCGCACGCAAGTATACATGGATATACATGTGATATTCGTTTGATACATATAGGATATATAGGTGATACACAACATGGTACACCTATCTTTTTTGCATGTTCATCTATTACTTCAAATTTTCAATTCAAACCACCTCAAAACTCCACCAAATCATCCCAAAACTGAGATTAAAGCTCCTTAAGAAGTACCCAATCTATTCTAATAACACCCACTCAAAAGAAAGTAAAAAATTTGACCCTTTTTTGCTACAAATAGCTAATCGGCTAATATTAGTAATATTTTATGTATTGGCAATTTTTATAATAAACTACTTATAAATTGACATAGTTGGTATTTTTCCTTAAGAAATACTTATGGCACGACTATACAAAAATACTCTTAACATGGTGTCATATTATTCGTTTTGGGCTAAGCCCGCACGGTTTTTCTCAAAAGACCTTACATCATTAAAAGATTTCTACGCCTTACATGTAGACTCCCACTCCTTTTAGCTACCATTGAGGGATTTTGTTCGTTCACCTAACAATCTCCTATTCGAACTAAGTTCCATGTGACCTATTACCACGATCCACGAGTCAATTTTAGAGATTCACTATGCGCCACACACATCGTTAGATACTTATGGTAGCCGAAGCCCGCAACTTGTTTCTTTTTGTGTGCACGTCTCCAAGCTCGTAAGGGTAAGCAAACCGAGTCTGGCACCATCATTCTGCCATCGCTACACCTGTCCCACTGAACCTGGACTTTGATATCAGATGTTGGGCTTAATCAGCTCAAAAAATACTCTTAACATAGTATGATATAGTTTGCTTTGGGTCAAGACCACACGATTTTTCCCAAAATGCCTCACACCAATAAGATATACCTACAACGTATATGTAGGCTCCCAATCTTTTCAGCTATTAATGTGAGTTTTATTCCCACACCCAATAATAATAATAATTACACTTCAATCCCAAAGAAATTAGGATTGTCTATATAAATTCTCACTTCTCCATTTAAAGCATAAGTTATATTTTAAGAAATACTTAGTTTTTCTTTACCCAAAAGCTACTTAAAAAATTAATTATTTTCGAGGTACAATAATTTGAAAAGATGAGTCAATATACAAAATTAATTTTTTGTAATGCATGTGAATTGTTTCTTCTTTCTTCATTTCGTTTACACCCATGACCCATCATCAGCCTCTGTCCCACTTGTTTTTTTCTCTCCTTGTTTTGCATTTATTTACGGGAAATTTTCGTTCCTATACCATATAGGAAACTATATTACCAAATATGTTCATAGTTTGCATATTACCCGCCATGCTAATAGCATTTCTACAAAATATAGACAATTCACTAAATAAGAAATCATTGTAGCTGTAGGCTTCCTTATTTAGGCGCGCTAATATTGGGGAATTAAATATTCTTTCAGATATTTTACAACGCAAATCACGCATTAATAATTATCGGCTGTTTCGATTCAAAATTTAGCGACTCTGTTTTTGCGATGTATAACTGTTCGTGATTTCAATATGTAATTGAGTATCACCAATGAGAACACAATTGCAGGTTTGTGCTGTTACATTTTCTATCAAATTCTGGTTGTATATCAATGTCCTACACTTTATCTACATTTTATCTACAAATAAACTACATGTCAGAGTAAATATATATATCAGTATGGATTTTCACAATATCTACAAAATTTCTACATTTATTCTATAAAACTACATATCATTTGAAAAATTAATATGAAATTGTGAGGCCCTGTAGAAATTTGTGCTCAAAACCTAGTAGCTCGTAGGGTCAGGTTCTGAATATTTGTTGGGAATGTGTAAAACTCTTCGCGGCTCACAAGCTCGCCGCGGTTCGGACCCATTGTACTGATCGAAGTATTTAAAAAATCAAAGAACCAAGTTTTTTTCCAGAAGAGTGCTATTTTGCGGTCCAGAATGCGGTCGCAAATCAAGTATGCGGACCGCATTTCTGCCGCATAATGAGTCAGTGGTTTGGTTAAAATTAAGGTCAAAATGCGGTCCATTATGCGACCACATAACTGATATGCGGACCGCATTTCTATCGCAAAGTGAGTCAATGTGTCAGTCAAATTTGAGCTCAAAAATGCGGTGCATTATGCGACCGCAAATTGGATATGCGGACCGCATTTTCGCCGCAGACCCAAACAGTAGGATTGGAGTTTTGGAGCA